CACGGTGGTGTGGTGCCAGGCCAGCTGTGCCGCAGGCGGATCCACCTCCATGGGTTCCTCTGGAGGCGGATCCACCTCCATGGGCTCCTCTGGAGGCGGATCCACCTCCATGGGCTCCCCATGGTCGCTCACAGCGCTGGCCCGGGCGCGATGGAACCGGGCTCCCTTCCTCCTCTCCCTCCTCTGCCTGATGGTCATGGTGGGCCCCCTCCTCCTCTTTGGTTCTGGGGCCCCCAGCTCCCTCTTCCCATTTAAAACCACTGTCTCCTCCTCCGCTCTCGCTCTCTTCGTGCTGGACATGGCTGCCACCTGCCCAGCACTCTCAGAGACGAGTGCGCCGGGTGGGGCGGCAGTGACCAAGGTGACGGCTGTGACATGGGGAAGGTTCCACAATGGCACCTGTGCTGCTGGGAGCGGCGTTCCGCACGGGATGAGGAGGGGGCTGCAGGGCACGGGACGGCGGCGAGAAGGCGCTCCCTGTGCCCAGCGGGCAGCCCTTCTCTGCGGCCAGCAACAGGGCACAGAGGAGCCGAACCTGAGGAAGGGTTTTCTGTACAATGATACAGAATGCAAGCTGTTAAAATAGAAGTTGTGTATCCCAGAATTTACCATTAAAAAAAACTAGTTTTTATGCATCGGAAAACGTTTGGCTCATTTTCAGACTGCACAGAGAATCCACAGCTCGGAGTGGATTCTGGCCCTAGAATACGCACCAGCTGCTGATGGGGGTCTGCGGCTGTGGGTGGAGGTGGTCTGGAAGGCCGGGGAGGTGAGGCCTTCACAGCTAACAAGCGGCTGACAGCTCGCTTGCGGAGCTCAAGCCACCGCCCAGGCAGCTTTGGCTGCCAGCACTGGAAACCGCCTTCCTGCCATCAGGGCACGCCAGAAACTCCACCCCTATCTCCTGCCCAAAAGTCCCACACAAACCAGAGCAGAGGGCCGGATGACAACAGAGTAGAGTGTATGGATGACAACAAGTTTTATAAAAGAAATGAGAATGTAATAACTACGGGTAGATAACCCAACCTTCGCTCTGTGCAAACAGTTTTAAGTTAAAACCCTACATTTCCAACCACTCTGCTATGGAAAGCATTCTAGGCTCAAATAGGAGGCAGCATCTACTCACTGATGGTATTAATGAGAGCACAGCAGTCCCGAGGCATTTGGAGAAGGAAAAAAAAGGCAGAGCTACATTCACCTGATGTTGTCCCCAGAAATCTCAGTCATTATCCACGACAAGGTAAAATCCAGGTCAGCTGATATGGTGAAGATAAGCAGGACTGCCAGCTTACCAAGAAACGACTCCGTCCGTTTGGAAAGTTCGTGTTTGTTTCTGTTAATCCTGAAACTTTGCTCTGTGGTAGAAACTCCACTCTCCATTAATAAAAAGGTGAAAAGCAGGCAGGAGACCCGAAGAACCCAAAACCAGGGAGAAGCAGATATGCTGAATTCAAGCCTAACCTGTCAGGAGAACTGGAATCTGAAGGAGAGATGAAACTCTGGGGAACGTAACACAGCACCCAGAGCATGGAACAGAATATGACTTGGGCTGCAACCTGAGCTCTGCCTGGGTTCCTAAAACCAGAAGAGAACGGTCTTGTGCAGATACTCCTTATCTCCATCCCAATCAGCATCCGGCACAACTGCAAAATGCCAATATGTTCCTTCTGCAAGTGTTACAATTTCTGCACAGTGTTTTCGGATGATTGCTGACGAAAGCAATTCCTCCTCCCTCATCCCTCAAACCTTTCCCACAAAAAAGCCTTCACAGAACATACCCTAAGAGGAAAACTCTACTGATTCAATTTACCTCCTGCCTGCCACGTGTGCCGGGGTTTCTTAATTGTTTCTTTTTGTTTGAGCAAATCCTCTATAAGATGATGTGGAAGTTCACACCTTAAGCAGCACTCCTTCACTCTCAGACTGCACAGAACGCTAATGGGCTGACACTGTTCTTAAGGTAAATTCTGTTACACGTGGTACTTAGCAGAATTTATTCACAAGTTCCTTGCCCCTTGATTAAAGGCCAATTAGTGTGAATTTCTTTCCTGTAGCTTGCCTTTCCCTCGCTGTTGTATTTGTTTGGTTTCTAAAACCCAGGAAGTCCCAGGATGACCAATGGTGTATTCTTCTTACAAAGAAAAAAAACACAGAATCACAGAATCACAAGGTTGGAAACGACCTGCAAGATCATCCAGTCCAACCCCCCTCCCATTGCTATCAGTACCACAAGCACTAACCCACATCTCGTAGCTCCTCATCCAGGCGCCTCTTGAACGCTGCCAGGGACGGCGACTCCACCACCTCCCTGGGCAGCCATTGCAGTGCCTGACCACCCTCTGAGAGAAAAAGTTTCCCCTCATGTCCAACCTAAACCTCCTCTGGTACAACTTGGGGTTGTACCTCCTCAAGCCTGGGAGAAGAGGCCAGACCCTTTTGCACCACAGCCTCCCTTCAGGAAGTTGTAGAGTGCTATGAGGCCTCCCCTGAGCTCCTCTCCTGCAGACTGAACCATCCCAGCTCCCTCAGCCGCTGTTCATAAGACTTGTGCTCCAGACCCCTCACCATTTCGTTGCCCTTCTCTGCACACGTTCCAGGGCCTCCATGTCTTTCTTGCAGTGAGGGGCCCAAAACTGAACACAGCACTCGAGGTGCGGCCTCACCAGTGCTGAGTACAGGGCACAATCACCTCCCTGCTCCTGCTGGCCACACCATTTCTAATGCAGGCCAGGATGCCGTTGGCCCTCTTGGCCACCTGGGCACACTGCTGGCTCGTGTTCAGCCGAGCATCAACCAACACCCCCAGCTCCCTTTCCTCTTCACAGTCATCCAACAGAGTCATTCAGCAGAGATCCATCATCTCAGCAACCACCCACTACCCAACCCGCCAGCGTTCCTGTGACCTGCCATCAGCTGACGAGACAGAAGTAAGATCACCATGATCTTCCAAGCCACGAGATGGGCCAGGACACCACAAGAGGATTCACAGTACTTTAGTTGGGGCCTCATGAAGGCAGAGCAGAGAAGGATGATCGCCTCCCTTGCCCTGCTGCCCACCGCTCTTTTGTTGCAGACCACAATACTGTTGGCTTTCTGGGCTACCAGCACACACTGCTGACACAGGTGAAGCTTTTTGTCTCCCAGGGAAGCCCAAGAGCTTCTTGGCAGGGCTGCCGTCGAGGAGTTCTCCCACCATTTGGTAGTTGTGCTCTGGAATCCTGCCTTCAGGCATGAAAGCCAGGGAAGCGTTGCTGGTGAAAACAGAGGCAAAGAAGCCGTGAGGTGCATCAGCCCTCTCTGCTCCTGTGCTTACTGACACAACAGGAGGCCCGCACCACCCCTGTCTACTCCTTTACTTGTAAGGAAACTCTATCAGCTGGAGCCTTCGCACTCCTCTGTGAGTATCAGGTCCATGTCAGGTGAAAGCAGCCAAAGCTGCCCTGACTATCACAGCCCTGACCAGCTCCCTGTTGGCCAGTGTGACACCCAGCTGAGCATCACCTGTGTTTCCCCCCAGCAGCTGTGTGAAGAAGTTGGCTGAACTCGGTGGCCTGTTGTTCTGCTCGGCCAGAGAATGCCAGGGCAATTGCAGCTCCCATAGGCAGCTGCTCATTGATCTGCAGACACCTCAGATTGCTGACCAAAGGCTTCTGCCTGCTCTCCTTGATCAAGCAGTTGGGAAGCAGCCTGATCAAGACCACACAACAGTTAATGATGCTATCCTTAATAGCTCAAGTGACCAAAATGAGAGAATCTTTTTCATGGTGTACTGCACGTGAGTCGTAGGCTCTTTCACTTCTGGACACTTAAGGATACAGTTTGCAAAGGAATCCCTCATTTTATCTCCATGTATCACTAGCTGTATCCAATAAAGTCCTGCAAGAAGACACAAAAGCTGGGACAAACTTGCTGAGAACAGCTGAGGACACGCGGGAATGTCCATGATACAACAGCCACTGCAGTCAAGGAAGATCTAGAAAATACAGGTGATAAAGCAGAAGAGAAAGAAATAAGCTTAATCATGCTCCTGTGGCACACGACTCCATTTGTTCGGCTAAATCCCTTTATAGGCTGCCCCCATTATGCACAGCAGGGACAGCTTCAGCTGTCCCAGATGTGGGTATCTACTGACAGTGCAGGTGTTGTTGGACAAAGGAATGTCCTTCCACGCTCTGGGAGTAACAGCCCACATTTCACCAGATATTTGCATCTGAACTGCTCCTTCCTATCCTTAATCTCCACATGTGAGCATTAGTAGCTCACTAATTAGCAGTAGTGAGGTACCTCACAGGGAGGTGTCTATGTTGTGGACATCTGATCTGAGGCAAGAGGAACTGAGGGGGGTATTGGGAGTTGGGGGAGAGGATCAGAATGGGGGAATAAGGAGGGGAGGGACGAGGTGAGGGTGGGGAAGGAACCCTGGGGGTAAAAATGGAGAACTAGGGGAGAGGCGGGGGGGGGGAGGTCGAAAAGGAATGGGGGAACTGGAGTTGGGGGGTCTCTAAAGATCAGTGTTGGGGGGGATCGGGGGGAGAGTGTGACCGTGGGGGACAGAAAGAGGGACTGGGGGAGTTTATGGCCGAACCGTGGAGGAGAACGAGGCAGCGATGTACCCTGGATTGGGGGCGGGATGACACAGCGCACCTCCCCATACCGAGCAGAGGCCCTGAGCACCACAGAAGCCCCACGGGGCCAACGCAGAGCGGCCCCCGCCCCGGTGCCCCCCCGAACACCCACCTGTAGAAGCTGAAGCGGCGCTCGGAGCCCGGAGCTGCCCTGCGGCGTTGGAGCAACGCGCGGCCCCGCACCACTTCCGCACGGCCGCTTCCGTCTCGCGGCGCAGGGTGATGACGTCACACGGCCCCGCGCATCTCGCTGCAGTCGGCTCCGCAGCTCATCCCTCGTCCGGCCCCAACGCGCCGCTCCAGTAACCGCCCTCAGCGCGGACAGAACGTAACCGACCTTTTATTCTCATTATTGCTACTAAAAATCTCGCAAATGTCTTTTGCGAATTGCAGTGAATTTCCACTCGGCACACACAGGTGCATTCTACGTTTCCCCAGTTGCTCCGCGCCTCCAATCTGACACGGCCGAGGGCTTTGCGGGGCTCCTGCTGATACAAAGCGGGAAGCGCCGCGGCACATCCGCACGGCCCCCCTCTGCCAGCCGCAGAACCCTGACTTGCTCCGTGCCCGTGGGCAGGACGCCGTGCTCTGCAGCAGCCCACCACAGCTCTCTGCGAGCTCCCACCACTATGGGGCTCTATGGGGTCTTATGGGGCTCTGTGGCAAAGCTTTTCCTCGGGGCTTTCCTCCAGAAGAAGCAGTGGGCAGAGACTTACTGAGACAGCAAACTCTTTGGAGGCACTGCTGACTTGCCCAGAGGGAGAAACTGCGTTGGAGATGTGCCAGGTGGAGATGTGCCAGGTGAAAGCCATGGGCTGGAGATGCTGATTCTGAAGGTGCTTGTGCTGGAGCTTGAATTTCAGCCTGCACATAGCTGGCTGTGGTGGTTGGTGATGCTCACAGCATCACATCAGGGTGTGAAGGCCTTGCATAGGAGCTGAGGAGGCATGAGAAGGTCGGTACCCTCCAGTTCCTGGGAGGTCCCAAAAGTCCTTGGGCAACGGAGGGGGAGACAGTGGCTGTGGGGGGCTGGGACAGCAGACTTTGCCTGAGCTCAGGATTGGAGTAGCTCAGTTCCCAATGAGAGCGCATCACATCCATTCCTACTGTCCTGCTTTCTTTCTAAAGGAACTGACCAAGAAACTGAGCAGGATGCAGAAGGCTCTAGGGTGCTCTGAGATGTCGCTTGGTCCCCCTGCAGCATGCATGACTGCTCTGGGGCGTGTCTGGATATCTGCAGAGCAAACTGTGGGGCCCTGAGAAACCTCTGTGGCACATTAGGGAGCACTGGAAGCCGGAGGTCAACAGGGGAGTCCTTGGAGACCCCTTGGTAAGACTCCATGGGCCCTGGAGTGTAGGAGCAGCTCGGGCTGGTCACACTTGCTTGGCTGGGAGCTGATTGGCTGGGAGGTGATTCCCTTTTTTTGATTAATTTAATTACCGGATGATAATTAAATAACACTATTCAACATTCGTTAAAGATACTTTTTTCCCAAAGTTCTGTCACGCAGCTGTTTCAGCTTTGCTAAAATATGCTGAGTTTATTCAAAATTCCACTGATGCTCCTACAGCACTCAGAGTGCGTTTGGGGGCAGTGATAAAACGGCTCTGACAGATTCGTCATTAACGTGCTTATGCGGCAATCCGGGCCTCCTTGGGCTGCGTAAATTCAGTTTCACCACCGCGTTCCATCTCCCTTCGGCGCGGCAGTGGAGCCGGAGACCCACTCAACATGGCGCCGCCGTGGCACCGCTCTGCATCCCGTTCCTACCTTCCTCCCATCATGCAATGCACGACAACAGCCGTTCCGGTTTCGGCGCTGCGGTGATTGGTCCATCCTCTCCCCTGACCGGAAGTGGGCGTTCCGACAGCGAAGTTCGAACGCGAGCTGCCGGCCGGGCCGCGCTCTGTGCAGCTGCCGGCTGCCCCGCTCTCTTTCGGCCCGTCGGAGCGCGAATCCGGTATGCGGCGGAGGCCGGGTTGCCCTGGAAAGGGGGTTGGGGGGCTGGGAGTAGCGCTCCGTGTGTCTGCGCTGAGGCGGCGGGGCTCATCGGGTGGAGCGGCCCTTCCTGGAGCGGCCTGCAGAAAGGCCGGGCTGCGCTGTGCCGGAGCGGCGCGCGGGGTGGGATCGAAGCTGAGACGGCCCTGCTAACGGACAGAGCGCTGCTGGGCCGCTTAGCCCTATGGGGAGAGGCTCCCGCTGCTTCCTAACGAGGTTCAGCAAGGCCGAGTGCCGGGTCCTGCACGTTGGCCACAATAACCCCCATGCAGCGTTCCAGGCTTGGGGCTGAGTGGCTGGATGACTGTGAAGAGGAAAGGGACCTGGGGTGCTTGGCTGAACACGAGCCAGCAGCGTGCCCAGGTGGCCAAGAGGGCCAACGGCATCCTGGCCTGCATTACAAATAGTGTGGCCAGCAGGAGCAGGGAGGTGATCATCCCCCTGTACTCAGCTGTGGTGAGGCCGCACCTCAAGTATTGTGTTTGATTTTAGGCCCCTCCTTACAAGAAAGACATTGAGGCCCTGGAACGTGTGCAGAGAAGGGCAACGAAATGGTGAGGGGTCCGGAGCACAAGTCTTATGAACAGCGGCTGAGGGAGCTGGGATGGTTCAGTCTGCAGGAGAGGAGCTCAGGGGAGGCCTCATAGCACTCTACAACTTCCTGAAGCTCCTTGTGATGAGGAGGGGTTTGGCCTCTTCTCCCAGGCAACAAACAGGACTCGAGGAAATGGCCCCAAGTTGTACCAGAAGAGGTCTAGGTTAGACATAAGGAAGAACTTTTTCTCTCAGGGAGAGAAACAGAATTAGGATAGGCTACTGGCTGCCCAGAGAGGTGGCGGGGTCGCCGTCCCTGGCAGCGTCCAAGAGGCGTCTGGATGAGGAGCTGCGAGATCTGGTTTAGTGCTTGTGGGAGCAGTGGTGACGGGAGGGCGGTTGGAACTAGATGATCTTGCAGGTGGTTTTCAACCTTGTGATTCTATGATTCTAAAGCTGTAGTCCAGCCTTGCTGCTGCTCTGTGGCACGAAGCTCTGAGCAATGTTCTGTACTGTTAGCAGTAGGGAAGTCCGAGCCATGCAGTGTGATTTGTTACTGCCAGGTGAGACAGGATGTGCTTTGGTGAGGAGATGGGCAGTGCTGGAGCTGCCCCTTGTGCTTCTAAGAGTGTGTCCTAAGTAGGATGTAAACCCTGCTGGCTCTTCCTCACTGCAGGTGCTTGGAGGATCTCAAGGTCTTGTGGAATTCAGGATGTCTGCCATCGACTACCAGGAAATTCTCAAGCACTATGAATTACATGAAACAATTGGAACGGGTAAGCGTGATCTTTGTACAAAAACAGCGTGCCTAACAGTCTGACTCAGCACTCTCTTTATCTGAGAATAGATCAACTGCTCTTAAAGGATCCCGACATCAGGTTTCACGTGTATAAACTTGAAACTGAATTTTGAAACCAGTTGGGAATTGATTATGCTGATCACCTCTTCCTCTAATTAAAACATTACACACAATGTGTGCTAGGTACTCTGCTTTCCCTGTACCATTATATTAGAGAAGAATTCACACTCAACTTTAGGTGTTTCTGTTTTGAATTTTAGGTGGTTTCGCAAAGGTGAAACTCGGACGGCATCTTCTTACTGGTGAAGAAGTTGCAACAGAAATCATGGACCAAGTTGCTTTAGGGGTAAGCCGAAAGATATTTAAATGTGATAACACCTTCTGTTGGAGTTGTGGAGTTCACAAGAACACAGGGAGGTGGTATATAGAAATGCAGCATACTAGTGCCATTGCCTTGTGAAGGATGCTGTAGGAGTGGAAAAAGATGAGCAGAACACCACGAATCTTGTTCCTCGTTGTTCAGAGGGCAATACTCTCTGGCTGTAAAATGGAGGAAGTTCAACATTATTGCAGCAACTTTAACAAAGTGCTAATGAAAATACTGGATATTTTACCTTTCAGCTTTGGCTGATCTGTGTTTTAGAATTCCTGTGGGAGCAATGTCAGCCATTGCTGAGTTGATGCTGAATTGTGTACTGTCACATACAGGCTTTGACATCTTCTGTTACACAGTAGTCAGATGTGGTACCTGGTGTGCCAAATTAATTAGCAATTTCATAGCTTGCTTTTATGGTCTCTTAAGGATGACTTGCCTTGTGTTAGAACAGAAATTGGTGCCATGAAGAACTGAAGTCATCAAGATGTTTGCCAATTGCATCATGTGATAGAGACATCAAAGAAAATATTCATGGTCTTGGAGGTAAGAAATAGTGTTTGTGCCACGCTTAAAGCTACTGTTTTTATCTTTAGCAGTAGACAATAATATAAAAATGAAGCTGAAACGAAATGATTCTTAAATATCTCAATGGTGAATGGGTTCAAGATTCATTGGTTTTAAAATTAAGAATACAGTGTTCTGTATTCTGTCTTTCTGTAAAAGACACTAATCAGCATTCACAGTAAGGGAACTGGTTTTAATTCCTAACTCACACTCAGTTTTTAAAGTAGCATCTGCAAGGTCTGCAGGACACCAGAGCCCCCACGTTGTTGCCATCTCCTGAGTGATTTATGCCACCCACGACATTGAGTGCAGTGCCTCAGTTACCAGATTGGAGGCAAGGGTCAGATTTCTTGGCTTGTGTGGTGTGCCACAGTGCTGGCCCATGGCATAACTGGAGCACTCTGTACTGCTCTGACTGAGCACGGGGAATGGTGTCCTGTGCTTGCTGTGCTCTCACTGCTGCTTATTTTTCTCTGATGCATTCTAAACACGTTGTCAGGTAACTTTACCTTTCTCATTAAAGCATTGTCCTGGAGGGAAGCTGTTTGATTATATTGTTTCTAAGGACCACCTTTCAGAAGAGGAAGCTCGAGTCTTTTTTCGACAGACTGTTTCAGCAATTGCTTATGTTCCCAGTCAGGGTCGTGCCCACAGAGACCTCAAACCAGTAAGTTTGAACTGTATTCAGTCTTTCATAAGTAATAATGAACGTGTTTTTATTTTTCCATTGGGAGAGAAAGTTGTTCCTTTGTGGTTGTGGTTTATTTAACCAGGCAGGTGCCTGAGCATCACGCAGTGCTTCACTCAATCCACTGCTTTCCAGTGAACTGCAGGAGATAATGGAAGGGGGGAGAAAACAACACAAAGTAGAACTCATGGGTTGAGATAAAATTATTTACTGAGATAGAGGAAAGGAAAAGGATAACAGTTACGATGAATGCAAAAGCAATTGCTCACCACCTACCAATCAATGTCCAGTTAGGCTCCTAGGAGTAGAAGAGATTTACATGAACTTCTACGCCCTTCAGAACTCCTTCCACACCATGTCATATGGTATGGGATCTCCCTTTGGCCAGTTTAAGTCAGCTATCCTAATTCTGTTCCCTCTCACTTCCTTGGGCTCTCAGCTGAGAATGACTTTGGCTCTGTGCAACACTGCCTAGCAGTAACTACAGATGTCAGTGTGCAGTCTAGAGCAAAACTGGAGTATCATATCAGACACTGAAGAAAACAATTCCATCCAAGCTGAAACTCAGACACCCTTCATTATCTTGTGCTTAGAACTCTTCCATTACAGAAAATGTTAGATAATTATTACCATTCGATACTATGTTCTGCAGCTGAGCTGGATTTTGTTATCTTGAAGAAATATCTTCCTCTGAAAGGGGAGTAAAACATCAAGGCCCTAATGGGAGTGGAGCAGAGACACAGATCTGGTATGAAAGTTGTTTTCACACTTTCCTTACGCCCTTTGTTGCAGTTTGTATCTAGAGAGAGCCCTTGTGGTGTCAGTCTGTTATGTAGACTGCTCCAGTTTTGTGCTTCAAGGAAGAGTGATCCTTCAAACAAACAGTGGCTGTGCAGAGTATGGGATGAGATGCATGCCTCTGGCTCCATCCAGTGGGTTTTCTGTCACTGAAGGCTTTAAGCACAGGTTAGATACTGGAAGGTTTGGGTCTTTCTACACAAGTAGGTTAGAACTTTGCATTTCTTAAGTTGCTGATATCGCTGAGTAAAGCAAATCATCACAGCACAAGCATTTTCCTAGGCATCTTATGAAATCCTTTTATCTAAAGAATCTTTCCGCTCTGAAAAATAAAGCATTGCCTGTACTTTTGGAAGGAACTGGCTTCCAGCTGAAAAGTTGATGGATTCACAGGCTCAGACAGTAACTTGGAATGGAGGTGACTTCTAGAGGTTTGTGCCTGAACCTGCTGCTCCGAGAATCCTGACACCAAGTTTCTCAGAGCTTTTTTGTTTTCATCCTCAACCTCTCCCAAGGATGAGGCTGCATGCTCTCTGTGGGCAATCTGTTCAATGCTTGAGCAGTTTTGTTTCCTTATATCCAGTCTGCTGTTTCAATGAACAGCTGTTTTCTGTCACTCTCCCACCATGACCTGCTGTACGGATTCTCAGTCTGTCTTCATCCCTCCCTTGTGGGTGTTTAGAAGTTGCCATGAGGTTCCTCTGCACTCTGAACAAACCTCTTTCTCCCCGGTTTCTCTTCACAGAGTGGGAGCTTCAGCTCCCTGCACTGACTGGAGGCCATCCACAAAACTTGCTTCGGGTTGTTATCTTTCCTAGCCAAAAACTAAATACAGTATTGTAAATGTGGTCCAATGAGTGGACCAAACAGGGGTGACTTGTCCTGGTCTGGTTGTGCTGCTTTTTAATGCAGCTAATTATCCTGTTGTGCTTTTTTTCCCTGTCAGCACACACTGCTGGCTTGCATTCATCTTGTGGTCTTTCACCACTTGTCCTCCTAGTCCCCGGGCCCTTTCTAACAGATACAAACCAGTATTTCCCACCTGGGATATGGGAACTTGTTAGCAGTCACTGAAAATCTCTAAGAGAAAGAGAGAGGGCTTTTAGTAGACTGCTGACCACGACAAGAAATAACAGAAGAGAAAATATGTTTCCTTGAGTGTTCAGGAGAAAATAATTCCTGACTGCTTTTTCATTCACCAGGAAAATCCGCTGATTGATGAGAAACATGTTTCTCATAATTTGAAGCTGACAGACTTTGGACTCTGTGCAAAGCCAAAGGTAAGAGTATCTGAAATCAAATATAATGTGCCCCCAAGTAATGCATGTTTTTCTACAGTATGCAACAGGGACTTGCCCAAACACCCTACATTCAAGCTGTCTCTATGGTTGACATGCAGTTGCATCTTGCTTGGAAGGGCCTTAGCTGTGTGAGAGTGAACAGATTGCTCAGAAGCACACTCAGATTCTTTTCTCTACCCAGACTTCCTATTTTCATAGTGTAAGCTGTAGATAATCTTGTACGTGTATCACCTGTCTTATGCAAGGGCCTGTCATAGGAGCACTGGGCTGGCATGCCATTATCTCTTCGAAGGAACTGTGTGTAGATTGAGATCATGGATAAAACCAAATGAGTTTTGCAGGTGACAAACAGATCCTGTGGTTGTTTATGCTTGAACTGAATTGTTTCTTGATCTTAAAACTGCTTTCCAGGAGCCTTTACTTAACATGCCAGGTGGGTGCTGGTAAGAAAGAATTCAATGGGAAGAGTGCCTTCCTGATTCAAAGAGAATTACTTATCCTCAAATCGCTTTTCCTGGCCAAATTTAGAGCCTCTCGCAGGTAACCAAGCCCAACAGGCTGTTGTCCCAGTGCTATAATGTCATCTTGCTCTGACCTGTTTAGAACAAAACCCAAGTAGAGTAATAGGATACTCTGAATAAGGAAGTATTCTATCAGTTGTTCTTTGTAAAGTTTGTGAAGTGATTGCATTAAGTTGTTCTAAATGACCAGCGAGCCTCAAACACAACAGCTCTTGCATGACTTCTTTCTCAGATCTGTGTTTGCACAGGCAGTTCATCTTAGTAGGTGATCAGCTAAGGGAAATAATGCATCATGCCAAGGATACATCAGATAAGTGAGCAGCTTGGGATCTGCATAGTTGTACAATGCTCATGGTCTTAGAGAATATTTGCTTAGTGAGGTCACTATTGAATGAAAACCAAATATGTAATGAATGAAAATATGCCCAGGAGAAGAAGCCTCTGCAGCTTCTGAAGTGTCATTACAGAAAGCGTGAACTCTGTTAAAGCAAACTCTTCTGTTTTCTGTGTGATTCCAGGGAGGCCTTGATGACCACCTGAACACGTGCTGTGGAAGCCCAGCATGTGCAGCACCAGAGCTAATCCAGGGCAAAGCCTATATTGCCTCAGAGGTCTGCAGACCAGAGTTTGTTTGTTTTGCACCTCTCCCCTCTTTCCCTCCCCAGAGAGCGTTTAAAGGCAGTGGAGCTCAGATGCGCTCCCTTGGTTCCCCTCCTGAATTCTGCTGGGTTGCGTTGCTCAGTGGCTCTCAGAAGCTGTCAGTGGCCACAGACTGAAAAGTGCAATGGGCCGCAGTTCACACAGCTGGCTGGTTTGTCTCTGGCTGATCCTCATCTGTCTCCACCAGTTGTTCCCTACTTTGGGGCTCTATAAAACAGCAACTTCAGAGATCTCCTTCTATTAGTAAGTTTTTGGAAGAGCGATTTGCTCTGCTAATTGTCCATCATTGGTCAAACTTTTGTGCGGTCTCAGGATCTTACGTGTTTTGTTAGACTTGTCTTTAGCTTCCAAGTTGTGTGTGAAGACTTGCTTCCATTGTAATGCACAACGTACTAAAAATTGAGAGATGAAAACGTGAAGAGTTTTTCCAGCTTTGATTTCATGTCTAGAACTTTGGAACCCACTACTTGCAGTTGTTCATCTGTCCCAACTGGTCTGGTTTGAAATGCCCTCATGCTTGTTGAATTGCTCTGCTGTTAAAGTTGGAGCAATTCTTTCGGGTACCATTGCACCGCTGTTGATGGCTTCTAATTCTTGCTTTATTTATTTGTTTTCCCCAGACTGCTTTTCAAGCCTCCTTTTTCTTTCCAGTCAAAGTGAGAATTGCACTGTGAGGTGTAGAGCCTTGTTGTGCCTGTACATAAAGAGAACAGCAGCAGAGCCTCACAGCTGACTGCTGGCAGCTCTCGTTGTAGCCAGTAGCAGGTAACTGTGCCAAATCCTTTGCGATGGCTTTGATTTCATTTTTGCCAGTGAAATCCTTGTAGGTATAAGGTACTGCAGAAGGGTGATGAGCTAAGATGAAGATATTGGTTTTAGTAGTGCTTTAAGTTGAGCGGAAGAGCAATTGAATTAGGGTCATATGCTTTGTCTGGAGCCATAAGGCTTTTTTCCTGAGGGAAAGAGCCAGCTTTTCATAGGCTGCATGTGGCCTTTGGCAAGGGCAGACAATACAATCTGTCAGTAAGCCATTTTAGGTGCTTCAGGTTTGTAAACTTGTCCTTTTATTTTTTAGGCAGATTTTTGGAGCATGGGTGCACTGCGGTACGCTCTGCTGTGTGGGTTTCTTCCTTTTGATGATGGCAGTGTGATGGCACTCTACAGGAGGACAACAGGAGGTATCGATGGTGCTAGAATACACTGAGAAGGGAAATAGCTGAGCATGACAGGAGGCCTTGCTTTTCTGATGGCAGAACATGCTGGGCTGTGCTGTGTGTGGAAAGGCCTGTCTGCTGAATATTGTCCCCTTTTTTGCTGCTTTGTCTACCAGTATTTTGTGGATCTGGTTCTACACTTGGTTGGCCTATGCGGCGCTGGAGCCTGATTATATAATATGATAGCATGCAGAGTTTGAGGAGAAGTATTTACTTGCCAATGGGCTAATTTCTGTATCTGGTTCTTCAACTGGCTGCTCCCTGTACTACCTGTAGTAAAAATATAAATGCATCGTTTGATTTACCAGCAATGAAAGTTATTGAATGCCAGCTCTTCTCATGTCTAGGAAGAGCAAAGTTCTGCATCTATTCAGATTATTCAGATAATTAGAATTTTATATTATTCAGATATTCAGAATTTCCTCTTCCAGAACCAGGAGGAAATGTAGGACCCCACTGATTGCCTTCGAATTCAGCAGTTCGTTCTGTTTCCCTTCAGAGCGCACAACAAGCTGAGCGTGTGAATCAAGTGACAGGGCTTTCCAGGCTGGTGTGAACTGTGTTGTGCACTGAGCCCTTGTCCCTTTGTAATTAGGACGTTGTCCATTTCTGCAGGACTGCAGAAAATCCTTTGTGCTAATCACTACTCCAATTTGCAGAACGTGGCGAATGGAAAATGATCCAACTGCTTCAGGTGTACATTTCCTTAAAATTGTGGGTAGTTTTGGACCGAGAGCCTGTAAGCAGAATGGAGCTCTTAAAGCTGTCCAAGATTGTTTCTGCCCCATTTAGTTCTGTCTGTCTGATGCACACAGGAGCTGAGGGCTGCAGTGCTTGAACTGGTGGAACTTGTTTAAGTGAACTGGGATGAGCAAGTTTCAGAACTGAGTCAGAATGCAGTAAAAAATGGATACTCTCACAAGTATTAAGATACTGGCTTGCTATTTCTGCACTGAATTTGTTTTAATTTTATGTGGCTGTGATCTGAAAATGCTTGAAATGCAGACACCGAGGCATTGCTGTGTAATTGACTGTCACACGTTACAGATCCTGAGATATCCTGGAATCTAAAACTCAGAATTGGTTTAAGTCTACTGCTTGAATCCAATCAGGATCACAGCATCTGTGTTCAGTGTTCTTTTCCCTGCAATGCTCCACATCACTTCATTTTGGAAAGGAAATTGACTATGTGCCATAACTGCTGTTAGAACAAAGTATTTCTGGTGTGCTGTTGGGCATTTTGTAGCTCTTGTGAGCAGTTTCCCTTCCAGCATTGCCCTCAGCCAAGCACGTGTTGATTTTTACCATTAAATTTATTCCAGCTGTTCTTAAAGCAGAGTTTGTAATCTCTGTTCCTACGCTTTGAAAGAAAAGAGATGTCAATATCATCCAAATGATTTAGTAGCTCCTTTTGAGCTAGTTGTTCAAGGTTCATTCTCAATCCTCTCTTATTTTAGTGAAGAAAATAACTTTTATTGCAGAGAGGAAAACACACTGTTCCAAAATGGCTTTCCCCTAGCAGCACGCTGCTACTTGACCAACTGCTACAGGTAAAAGAGCTGCTTCTATTCAGAGTGATCTACAAAATGCTGTTGCATCAGCTCAAAACATTGATGGAGTGCTTAGAAAATATGCAGTGTTTAAACAAGTTAAACTGCTCCACGCCTGATGTCCTTGGAGAAAAGGTTAGCATTGCCTTGTGCTGAAAATTCTCCAATAATAACGTAGTACTAGTTAATGGTTATAGAAATGATGACAGTTTTAATAATTACACAGTCTTCAAGCAGCTTGCATTTGGATGTTCTTAATTGTGCTGTGTAATTAAAAGTGATCAGTACACAAAAGCTGTTTCTCAAAGGAAGCTGAACGTACTGAGTGTGCCTTTGGGCTGTATCTACGCCGTCTCACATACAAAATGCTCGTGGAACATTTACTGTAACCATAGGTGCTGTAACTGTTCTTCACAGCTCAGGTGTTTGACCTTCCTTCTGGTGAAGTGAATAAATACTAATAGTATTATTAATATACGAAATACTAATAAATACTGTTTGTGCTTCCAGGCACCTTGAAGTTCTTAGGAAAAGAATAACTGTCTCCAGTTCTTCTGCACCTTCAGAAAGTTTGCAGGCAGCCCCGTGCTGAGAGGTGCGGTGGATCAAACAGGAGGTAGGGATGTCTCCTCCTGGTGGCATTCAGGGCCGGGTTGGATGAGGCCTGGGCAGTTTGATCTGGTGAGTTGCAGCTTTGCAACTTGGAGCTTGATGGTCTTTAAGGTCCCTTCCAACTCAAGCCGTTCTGTGATTCTCTGGAACTGTGCTTGTGCTCCTTATCTCTCAGTTGTCTGACCTGTGAGAGAGGTTGGGGTGGCGGGGTTGGGGTGGGGGTGGGAATTGGGGGTGTGAGGGAGATTCTTGCTGTGGATCCTGAAGTTGGTGTGTATTTGCAGCCAATGGCTGCTGCTGGCCTCTGGGTGCCACTGTTTCTCTGAAGAACAGCTGTGCTGATCTTACACCACTGTGCTGTGCATGCCGTGCAACTGAATAATTAAGAGGGGATAGAGGTGTAACTTGTGCTCTAGTGAAAATCTCATCTGCTGACAGGCTTTTGTACTTGAATGCAGAACCTGTTGCCACAGAGGGACCAGTTGCTGAAGTTTGGTGACTCTGTTTACTCCTTGCAGTATTTAGCCCTGATGCTAACTATTTAAAATAGAAAATCTGAAATGGTGGCTAACTACTGACTTGATTGCTGCATATCAGAAGACTGTCATGGTGATATTGGCTCTGTGAGATGACTTGGAAGCTGTTTCTTCAGTACAGGTCTTGTTCTTGCAGCTGGGGCACCTTGATGAAGACTGTGCAACAGAACTTGCTGTGTTTCACCACCAGAGCAGAGAGAGTATATCAGCATTAATATCAGAGGTAATGAATGTATGTAACTCATTGTATTTAAGCTCATTGTATTTAAGCTGTATTAACAGACTCTAATGCTTGCTTCTTCTCAAACATGAAATCTTTCATACCTTTCAGAGCTAAGGCACCCCTGCTGAACTCCACAGTCTATCTGTAGCTAATAACTACATTTCTGAAGTTCACATTTATTCGATTTTTCTCCTTTAGTTTTGTTTCCTAAGCCTTTCTGTTATTTTCTACCATGCTGAAATCTGGAAGTCCAGATAGACTCAAAACAGAAACTTATGGATGCACAGCAGGTGTCAGGTGCTGGCTGAACTCACTGCTCTGAAATGTTTCATTAAGAAGTGGAAAATATCAACACCTCACTCAGACAACCAAACAAGTTTTGGGAATTACAGCTCACAAACTCTTAAAGAAATGAATCCATCCCAGTAACTTTTGAAAATAAATGAGAAAAGCTAAACTGAGTGCTTCTCGAGATATTGTATCAATGTCACTAATGACATTCCAAGCTGCAGAAGAGATTTAAAACACGATGAGTACTCTGGCTTCAACCTGAATCTGAAAATTGTTTCTTGAAATTGAATTGTCTTTCTATTAAATAGAAAGTGGTAGAATTTGGAAGGATTGTTAAGATTTCCATATAACTTTAGTAGGAATAGATATAAAATGTAAGTTTTACCTAGGAGAGACACGTCTACATTTTTTCAGGTACAGAAAATAATGAGAACAATCTACCTACAAGGGGAAGAAGTTCTTCCATGTTAGTCTGTGATATTTTCACAGTCCTTTATCAGAGGACTTCTAATGCCTTACAAGTAATTCAAGCTGATTGTACTGCACTGTCAGTCTATCAAGCATTTTACCCATGGTTCTCATAGTAGTCAAAAAGCTGCTGAAAATCGAGTTGAATGTTGATGCTCCTTGGAGCTGGGCTGAAACATGACCCCCAAAAATGGGAGTTCAGATGGAATACTGTGCAAAATGCATGAACAGGAGCTTTGCCATTCACTTCAGTAGAGCCATTCTGGCACCAGCTTTACTTTTCTCTTTCAGCAATTGTGCTGCTCTCAAGCAAAAACAAGAGCAGTCTGCTTCTTTATCTTAAACTTGTTGTGTGAGCAGCTAAGGTCTGAAACTAGCCTGATGTGATCAGGTGTGAATCTTTCCAATTTGGAGAGAAGTATGTTGTGAGGTACCATATCAAAGGCCTTACTGAAATTGAGGTCGGTGACATCAGTGGTTCTTCCCTCGTCCATTGATACAGTGACACCATCATAGAAGGCCGCTAGTTGGTCAAGCAGGATTTGCCCCTGGTGAAGTCATGCTGATTCTCCTGTATCCCCTCTTTGCCTTCCATGTGCCTCAGTATGGAATCACAGAATGTCAGGGATTGGAAGGGACCTCTACAGATCCATCTATTCCAGCCCCCTGCCGGAGCAGGAGCTCCTGTCTTAGGTCACTCAGGAACTTCCAGGTGGGTTTTGAATGTCTCCAGAGAAGAAAACCCAACAACCTCTCTGAGCAGCCCATTCCAGTGTTCTGTTACGCTCACCTAAATAATTTTTTTCTCATATTTATGTGGAACCTCCTGCGTTCCAGCCTGGGCCCACTGCCCTTTGTCCTGTCACTGGGTGTCACTGAGAAGAGCCTGGCTCCATTCTCGTGACACTCACCCTTTACATATTTATAAACACTAATGAGGTCACCCCTCTGTCTTCTCCAAGCTGAAGAGACCCAGCTCCCTCATTCTTTCCTTGTGAGGGAGATGTTCTGCTCCTTCCATCATCTCTGTGGCTCTGTCCTGCACTCTCAAGCAGTTCCTTGTCCTTGAATGAAGAGGCCCAGAGCTGGACATAATATTCCAGTCTCACCAGGGCAGAGTGGTGGGAGAGGAGAACCTCTCTCTCCTACTGACCACAGCCCTTCTATTACACCCCAGGATGCCTTTTGCCTTCTTGTCCACAAGGGCACAGTGCTGGCCCATGGTCATCCTGCTGTCCACCAGGACTCCAGGTCCCTTTCCCCTGCTCTCCTCTCCCACAGGTCTGTCCCAGCCTACCTGGTACCTGGGGCTGTTTTTGTCCAGATGCAGGACTCTACACTCGCCCATGTTACATCGCATTCAATTCCTCCCTGCCCAACTCTGCAGCCTGTCTAGATGTAGCTTCCAGGAGGATCTGTTGCGTGATTTTTCCTGGCACAGAGGTGAGACTGACAGGTCTGCAGTTCTCCGGGTCATCCTTGTTAAATGATGTCACCTTTTTTCCAGTCTCCAGGGACTTTACCTGATTGCCACAACTTATATCATGGAGAGTGGCTTGAAGATTATATCAGCCAATGCCATTAGGACTGGGATGCATCTCTTTAGACTTGTGGATGTGTAAAATAAACAGGGTGGATAAATAAATGTGGATGTATAGAATAAATTGGTACCAGATCAGTCAAACGTGATTTCCCATCGGTGAGCCCACATTGACCAGTCCTGATAACCCTCTTTTCTTCCACTGCTTGGAGATGACATCTAGAATAAACTGCTCCATCATCTTCCCAGTGACAGAGGTGAGGCTTCCTGGCCCACGGTTTCTTGGCTTCTTGCCCTTTTTGAAGAGTGACCTGACATGACTGTCCTCCAGTCCTCAGGCCTTTTCTCCTGTTCTCTCTGGCCTTTTGAAAATGAAACAGTTGTTCAGCAGTCAGTTCTCCTAGCTCCCTCACTGCCTGTGGGTGCATGCCATCAAAGCCATGGATCTGTGTGCCTTGAGTTTGCCTATCTCTAATCAGATCCTTCTCGACCATCAGGAAATCTTCCTTTCTCCAGACTCATTCTCTTACCTTCAGAGTCTGGGTTTCTGCAGGGCAGTCTTATCAGTAAAGACTAAAGCAAAAGCAGCATTCAGTAACTCCACCTTCTCACTGTCCTTTGTTGCCAGGACACCCAGTGCATTCGGCCGTGGGACTCCCTTTCCCTCACCTTCCTTTTGCTATTGATTTACTTAAAGATGCCTTTCTTGTTGTCCTTGACCTCCCTCACCAGATATAATTCCAAAAGTGTCCTAGCCTTCCTTGCTGTAACCCCGCATGTCCTGACAACATTTCTATATTTCTACGAAGTGCACAGACCCTTTTCCACATTTCATAGACTTTCCTTTTTCCATTTGAGATTTCTCTTGTGCTCATCCTTGTAGGTTTCCTGCCACCTGCGCTTGATTTCTTACCCATAAGGATTCCCCAGTTGTGAGCTTGGAAGAAGTGGTGCTTGAATGTCTACCAGCTCTATTGGACTCCCTTACATTCCAGTGCTCCAGCTCATGGGATGTTAGGCCCTTGAAGTGGTCAAAGTTGGATCTCCTGAAGCCCAGGACCGCTGTCCTAATTATTGCTGTGTTTCTTCCATGCAAGATCCTGTTATCAGCTGTCTCATGGTCGATGCATGCAAGCGTGTCTATAATAAGAGGATTACTTTGTGTTCTGCAGTTTGGTTAAATGCAGTTTAGCTTCTGTATTCTCATCTGGAAGCTTATCCAATTAGCAGTTTGTTA